AATGCACTTCGATTGTTATATAAAACCTGATGTGTTTCCTGTGAAACGGGATAAAAATACAGCAGAAGGGTTTGACTGGCATTTAGAAGAATAACAGAACTGGGAGGTGATGCCTCCCAACGAGTGGTACCTGCTGTAGGAGCCCACTGCAGCAGATGCTGGGGGTGCCCTTTTGTCCACTTGCTGGAAATAAGACCCCACTACTGAAGGTGCACCAGCGGTGGCTAGCAGCTGGTTACCAGCGGTGGCTAGCAGCTGGTTACCAGCGGTGGCTAGCAGCTGCTATTGCATGAAACCAACACAGATCCGTTTCCTGCAAAGAACACTTTTGTCAACCAGTCACTGTTCTCAGGGCTGCAGTATCAGTTTCTTTTTGCCTGTCAGTCCTGTAGGAGCTGCTTAAAATGGTCTTTTCTGCTCTTGAAACCAAAGTGGCTGCCACAATGACCCGGCGTTAGCAGAGTTGATTCCTTAGTTACGAGTTGTAGCTTAGTGAAGAGTCACAGGAGGGTTTGTGTGGATCTTTCTATTCTAGCTCCATAGATTGATTTATCTTTATTTCCCCTATGAATGCACATCTGTCCAGTTCCAGATTCAGCCTGGATATATGTATAACACACATTTAGAATTGAAGACTTGCCCCACTGATGCAGTACTTCATTATGTAATATTTACGTGCGTCGTGGTTTTCTTTTTTTTTGTTTAATACTGCTTCCACAAATTAGGGCATGGTCAATGGGAGTCCAGAATTGCAGGCTGTAGATATGTGTAGTTAAGAATTTTGTTAGCTAAAGAATACTGATGCTTAGTCATGTTTAGGTCTGTTTTCTGTATGATTTTTCTTAGCAGTTGGCCAAATTATTCACAAAAGCTGTTGCGCAGAGAAAGAAACCCTGAAACTAATATAGTTTACCCCTTCTCCTTATTTAGGGCTTGGCCTACGTGGAATATGAAAACGAAGCTCAGGCCTCGCAGGCTGTGCTGAAAATGGATGGTCTGACAGTTAAGGAACATGTCATCAAGGTGGCCATCAGTAACCCCCCTCTGCGCAAGCTGCCGGACAAGGCCGAGGCAGGCAGAGCTGCGCAGTTTGCCGTCCCGCGGCAGATTTACGGAGCGTGAGTATTAGTGAGGGAGACTGGTGATGCTTGAAAAGGAAACGCTGGGTTTGTTTCTAGGCTGAATTGTAGGAATCTCATTTTATGAGGAGTGATTGGAGGAGCTGGGAGTGTTGAGTGTGAGGAGAAGGAGGCTGAGGGGAGCCCTCATCCCTCTCCGCAGCTCCTGACAGGACATTGCAGAGAGGCCGGGGCTGGGCTCTGCTCCCAGGGGATCAGGGACAGGACAAGAGGGAACGGCTGGAAACTGCCCCAGGGGAGGGTCAGGCTGGGCAGGAGGAGAAAATGTTTCCCAGCAAGAGTGGTCCGAGAGTGGAACAGGCTGCCCAGGGAGGGGGGAGTCCCCATCCCTGGGGGGTTTCAGGGCCGTTGGGATGAGCTGTGGGGGGATGTGGGGTAGGGGAGAACTTTGTAGAGTCGGGCTGAGGGTTGGACTCGCTGACCCCGAGGGGCTTTTCCAACCTGAATCATTCCGTGATCTAGAATATGAGGGAACATTTAAAAGGTGCTTAACCATAAAAGATGGGGTTGTTGGATTGATGAGGAGAAGCAGATTTTTCTTCTTCACCAATAGAAACAGGCCTGGTGCCTGATACTCTCCACCACTGCAGACATCCCGCTGGATCCGCTGTCAGCACCGGGGTGTGAATAACTTCCCCGTTCTCTCGTTCTGGAGAACCAGCCATTGCTCACAGTGAGCTCACGTTAAGGCTGCTCTTTCATCTTTTAGAGTGTTCCTGCTGCTGAGCATTGCACTGATGCTGTACGTGCCTCACAGATAAACACCGAGCTTTGGTTTCTGGGGACTGTTGGGCAGTTGTTTCCTGCCAGGACGTAGGTAGAGTGTCTCAGAGGGCACCCATTAAAAGCTTTGCGCTACTTATTCCTGTCATTTGTTTCAGTAATAATATTTTAAATGAGTGTTCCTCTTGGTGAACAAAGTCCTTTTTTGTTTTCCCCAAGCGAAAACAGTATGTTCGAAGAGCACTGGGAGGTTTTTAAACGTCGCTTTTCGTTCTGCAGGCGAGGGAAGGGAAGGACGCAGCTCTCAATGATGCCTCGTGCGTTACAGCGCCAGAGTAACCCTGTGGCTAAAGCTGAGAATGGGATGGTCCAGAACTCACCAGCAACTTCATCTGAACCCCCCGAGGAGCCTAAAAAGATGTCCAATGCTGATTTTGCCAAGATGCTACTGAAAAAGTGAGGAAAAAAAAAAAAAAAGTCTGCAATCAGCGGGTCTGGTAAAATGTGAAATGCCTTTATGGAAGCCATGTTGTGTCCTTATGCTAGCAAGGAGAGAACGCCCGTCACAATCACGTGTAAATACTGCTCTGGACTGCTGCATTCATCGAGATCAGTGTAGGATGGTACAAATCCAGTTTTTTTTTTTTTTCCTCTGTTTCTAAGAGCAAAGAGTTATACTGTTCTGGTAAAATGACGTTATATGATTCCTCATATTGAGGGTACCGAGGGGGGAAATATTTCCTGTACAGGTTGGATGGCGCATCGAGTTTTACAAATACTTTAAAAATATTTCTCTTTCATTAACGAATGAGATGCAATGTGAAAACCTAGTGATAACTCCTAGTGTCTCCTGTCAAGCTCCACTGGTCAGTTGGGATTGTGATTGCAGTCATTCTCTCTGACAACGAACCCATTTTTACACCCAGACACCCACACGCAGGGACATTCATCTCCTTCCATTAAGAGTTAAATGGCAGATGCTAGTAACTTCACCACAATGGCCTATTTTAGTATTGGGAAAGTTTCTATACATATGTGCGTATATGTATATACACAAATATACATATAAATGTATTCAGTTAATGTTCTGTTCGAGTCGACCTGTTTTTTTTATATTGTGTATTTGTAAAAGACATTCAAATTATTATTTTTAAGTGTCATGAAGTAGTACTTCCATCTGGTAACTTTTGTTTCCCATAAAAGCTGTACATGCTGTTGCTGAGGACCATTTTGGGGTTGGTTTTTGGTTTTTTTTTTTTTTTTGGAGGGGGGGTGTTTGTTTTTGCTAGCTAGCTCATACGTCTTTTGCAGGTGGTTTCTGTATGGTTTTGTACAAATGTGAAGTGCAAGCTGACGTTTCTTGGTTTATTAAACTCAAGTTCTCAAAGGTTTTCTATAAATACCGTTGCTTTTGTTTAAATGTGGGTGTTGGAATTGCACTTATCCTCTGGCAGCTGGGTAACACTGTACCTCGCCTCTCGGGCGCCCTGCGATACAGTGTCACTTACATACCTTGAAGTAGCTCATTCCATCTAGTACGAATATCATGGAACCACTTCAGTAATCACCTCAGAATTTAAAATAATCTGGTACGTGATCTTGGATAGAAATATTTCTGCTCGTCTGGCTAAAAGTGCTGCTAACTCTGGAAGTCAACACACACGGGGGCTGAATGTGAGGGGGGGACCCCGGTACTGAGTTCACTTGTACACCACGAGCACTGCTGCAAATAAACACTATTTTCAGTGCTTACATTGTGCTGATTTGACTTGGCTTTACTTTTAAAATGACAAGTCTGCTTCATAGCTTTGACCCAAGTGCTGTCGGCAGTTGTGGGGAGGCAGCACAGGATGGGTGGTGGTTCTTGGCTCTTCTGGGCTGGATGCTTGGGCTAGCTACTGTGCTGGTGATACAGGGGGGGTTGTTGCTCAAAATCAGCTTAGAAACATTCTAATTATGCTTTAATAGGGAGCTTTTTGACTCGAGGGTTGGAATGCTGAGGCTGGCTGTGGTGATCTCTGGTTCCCTTTGACTGCTGGGGGTGGACTGGCCGCGTCAGAGCCGGCCGTGGGGTGGGTGTAGGCAGGGACAGGTACCCTCTAACTCGCTGCTCTGCAGCCTGAACCGCGACTGCTTCTTGATTTACAGCACAGAAAAGTTTTGAGAACAGCCTATGCCAAACAAAGACTTTTAATATTAAAATAGCTTTATTAATCTGTTACTAAAATAACATTTTTTTTTTTTTCCCCAGAGTTCTAAAGTGCGGATTTTATTTATACTCGTCTTGTACTACACCAATAAGCATGCTTTGTAAGGACAGAATAACCTTCCTCATTTATTATTTGCCTTCCCAGCAGCAGTAACCTGTACGTAAGCATGGAGTGGTGCTGTAGGATACAGGTAACTCCCAGTCTTGGCTGACTGCCTGCCTGTATAAAATACGTCCTAACTACCTCGCAGGGAAGAGAGTTAGGAGGGAAGAAACTTAACACTGGTCTGGAACAATCTAAATTTAAGCTTAACAGCACTCTAAACTGGATTGACTCGAAGCTTTCTGAATTTAGAGGGTTTGGCATCAATTATGCTGTCGCACAACTGGCAGAGAGGGGCACGGGGAGTTGTTATTCTGTGTTAGGCTGCAGGTGCTTTTACCTTAAAAGGAAAAATTAAAGTGCTTCTCGGAATTGCCCAGCAGTTTCCAGGTACCGCACTGCCTGCTGCTGCAGCAGAGGCCTCCTGTGATTCTTGATGTGTTTATCACCGTAATAACAGGACCTACTAATTAATTGTGAAAAGTTCTCTTGTGTGGATTGAAGAACCTTAAGATTTCAGCAAAGTTTCTAGACATATTCTTACCAAATTGACACAGATGATAAAGGTTGTCTTGCAGTTATGTATCAACCTTTCCTGCCCCCAGCTTTGCAGAGTTTAACCCATTTTCAAAGACTGAACTGCACTGGGGTCTGAGGCAAGGACTGGGAGCACGAGGCAGTCCTGTCAGAAGCACTGCAAAAGCACCTCCCAGGTCAGTGAATTCAGTCAGGATTTCTTCTCTTGTTCCAGCCACATCAGCTGTAGTCTTAAACCAAACACTTCCTCCTTGTTTGGTTTTGTTTTGTTTTTTTTTTCTTTACACCTCACCCTAGGAAAGGCAACTGAAAGTAAACACACAAAGTGCAGCTGGAAACAGAAATGGGAGGGGAGAGAAGCCTTTGCTGAGATGGAGTGTGGCCTCCTTCCTGATCAGACTTGTATAACTGACAGGAAAGGATCAGATTAATGTAGCTGCAGAGTGGTTTTTGTCCTGGGGTTTGGTGGGTGGTGTTTCTTTTTTTTTTAATGGGAAAAGGGTAACACAAAAAGCAACAACTCAGTTAAGACTTTGTCTTACCTAGCAGCTCCTTGACAAGATAAGACACTGCAGTTGACCAACTAGGTGAAGGGTTGTGATTGAAGCAGCTTCTCAAAACTTAATTTTAGGGAGAAATCTAATTCTACTTCAGCCTGTTGAACCCTTCTGACAGCTCTCCCCACCTCCTTCCAATAGCACAAGTTCTAGCACACAGTCAACGTCAACGGTTCACACTTCAGCTTGGCATGATGTATATAAATAAATTATATTAATTTAATCAAACGTAAGATACTTTAAATAAATGAAATGCTGAAGAGTGACACCTCCTGTCAAGTTATTTCTCAGCAGGAATACTGAGCGCCTTGGCATTCTGTTCTCCTGCGCGTTCGCTGGCTTCTGAACGTCCACAACCCTCAAGTCTTGACAGGGATGGTTTGTCTGCACCCGGCGGTGCTGCCATCTGCTTCAGGTAAGCCCACAGAATATTCCGTGGTGGCGATGAGCAGCATGTCCAGAGTGGTCTCGGTACACTTGGCAATAAAGCGTATGAAAGGCCTCACGTCGCCCTCGTTGGCCACTTCCAAGACGTGGTAGTACTCGGCCCGTTGCTCCTTGCGGATGGTGATGGGCGGGTAGCCCGCCTGCATCAGGATGAGGTTCATTAACAGGCGCGAGGTCCTCCCGTTGCCATCTACAAACGGGTGGATGTAAACCAACTTGTAGTGGGCTAACGCAGCAAATTCCACGGGGTGCAAGCTCATGGCGTCTTCCGAGTTAAGCCACTGCACAAACTCCTGCATCTGTTTCTCGACGTCCTGGGGATGGGGGGGTATGTGATGTCCTACAAACACCTGAGTACTCCTGAACCGCCCTGCCTCCACGGGGTCGGCGTAGCCCAGCACCCGCCGGTGTATCTCCAGGATGTCCCCACTGGTGACAGAGCCTATCCGTGACACCAGCGTGGTGTTGACGTATTTCAAAGCCGCGTGCATGCCGATCACCTCGTTCTGCTCCACTAAGCTTTTTCCAGGAACAGCATATCTGGTCTCGATGATGTGTCGTATTTCTGAGAGCGTCAGGGTGTTCCCTTCGATAGCAACCGTGTGGTAGATGTGGTGGTAGTAGGACTCCTCCATCACTCGGCGCAGGGCGGAGTTGCCTTTGGGGATCGCCATCACTTTCTTAACCTTGCTGTCAATAATACTGAAATACCTCTGATCTATCTCTTCAACTAAAGGTAGCGTCCGGTCCCGATTGATCAGAGCCTTCTCGTTGCAGGGAGAAATGGTGAGTGCTTTGGAGTACAAATAGTCGGCTCGAAGAATGTCTTTTTCCTCTTCGGAAAAGATACCAAATTCATTCAGAGCATCCACGTAATCGGGGTCCATTTTGAGGGCGTAGACAAAGAGTTTGTGGGCTTTCTCCCGTTTGCCTTGGCGCTTCATTTCGAGGGCTTGATTCAGAGCCGCTTTGGCTTCTAACTTCACTTCTGAAATGCAACAATAACGCTTAGATAACAGGGTAGGGAATTTTACCAAGAATCTCTGGAAACAGTCACTGTTTACCGATACAAAAATTAATTAAAACCACTCTGCAAGAACTAAGAGAGAACTCGTTTTCCAGCCTTTGCAGGCTACAAGCGCAGAGGCTCATGCCACGTTTGCAGGCCGAGCGTGTGGCAGTGGAGTTGTTCCTGGCAGGGAACACCCTGAGGCAGGAGCTGCGAGCAGCATGGCTCGAGCTGGCCCCAGGCCTGTGGCCATCCTGGCAAAACTCACTTTGGCCACCAGACTGCTTTGTGTGGGAGGACACAGTCATAAATACATCCTTTTAACAAAACCGGTCAGTTCTCTTGCTAGAAGCACTAACAGCACTTCTGGTTTTTTGTCACAGAACTATCAAACATCTTCCCAGCAATAACAGCTTTAATGCAAACAAAGATACAGGGCTGGAATTGTTTTGATTCCTTCACATGTTTTCCAAATTAACATTCTGGGCAATAAAGGCAACAACCACAGGCTGTTGTTGCCAGAGAGGCTGGGCTATGACATCCAGGATTTCAGGGTTAAGGCCGTGTATCCCAGGTTACTGGGTATTAAAACAGCACTCTCTATTCCAGTTACCTTAACAGGACTTACTAGTACTAAAAGCACGAGTCAAAACTTCTGAGAGACAGAGCAGGGCTGAGAGAAGGCCAGTGCATCGCCCTGCTGCAGCGCAGGGCAAGGGAATGTGGTCAGGCGTGTCTGACCTCTGGGTCATTTCCAGCTGATGATCATTTGCAGTTGGGCAGTGAGAGCTCATTATGGGGTACAGGAGATCATTAGGTGGGGGGGGCACAGCTCTCCAGATTACACAGCAACTCGGCTGCTTCCCTGCACCCTCACCTGGGGGGGCTTTGCCTTTCAGCACCAGCAGCTCCAGCCCGTTGGAGGTGACGCTCAGCCCTGTGCTTTGTCCCGTGTACCTGGTGACCCCCGAGGAGCCTGCGCCCAGTTTACTTTTCAGGAAGGAGAGTCCTTTAAGCACCGCGTGGCACTGGTCTTCCACGGCAGCCAGCGGGAGCAGCAGCATCACCAGCAAGCTCAGGAGGAGCACCAGCATGGCTGCCCACCTGATGCGGACCCACAGGGTTATCCATTTCACCTCGGGATCTGTCGCCATAGACACGAGATTCATCCTGCTTCTAGTGCAGACACGAGGAACATCTCCTTCCCCGCCGCTCCCACCTGGGAACAGAAGCAGCTTTAGCCAGAGCCCCGTGGCACGGGGCAGGTGTCGGGCTGGAGCTGTGGCACCTGAGCGGCCTGGGCTTGTGTCCCAGCTGTCGGGGGTGTCCCCAAACACCCGCCTTTCCCTGCCGCCTCCGAGCACAGCAGGGCAGGGTGCGCGCAGTGCTCAGTGGAACACATCCTGACGGGAGGCGATACCGCTGCCAGCCGGCCCCGCGTGGGGGAACGAGCGCTGCCCCCTACCCCTACGGCACCGCCGCCCCCCTTCTCCACGCCTGCGACCCCCGAAGCTCCAGGCTCCTGCGCATCCTCCCCAGTCGCCGCCCCTCCTCCAGCACCGTGCCCGCCCCGGGCCTCCTTCCCCTCCGCCGGGCCCCGCTTCACCCCAGCTCCTCCCCGCCCGGGCCCCCCGGTGCTCCCCGCAGCGCCCCCCCCTCGCTCC